AATTACGATTATGGCTTGCAACGATTACGAAAACAACGCAATCGAAATAAAACGATTATTTTTTTATTATTATTATTACTTTTTCTTTTTTTCATTAATTTTTTTTATTATTGTTTTTTCAGTTGAATTATACTTAAAGTTCAGGGTAATCAACTGTTAAAAACATACTGTTCAAAAAATGCTCCAATAAATTGATGTTTTCAAAGTAAATGGATAATCGTTTTTAATAATCGTGATATCAATTATTGACCCAAATAATCGAGATTATGATTTTTGCCATAATCGAGCAGCCCTTACTAGGGCTGCACGATATTGGAAAAAACTGACATTGCGATATTTTCTTCCCCTGCGATATATATTGCGATATGAAAAAATACAGGAATTGAAGAAAAGGCAGTTTTTTTTGTCCGCAAACCATCCTTTCTTGAACTTTAATGCTATACAATTGGTATTTTTTTAACTATATTTAACCGGATGAAGGATTTTAGTCACGGAAGTCTGGATCTTAAGTTATCAGAGCAACAAGCTGAGCTAGCTCGGTTAGCGGCGCCGGACTGCCCTGGAGAAACACACGAAACTACTTTATTCAGTGTTTTTACCTTTAATCACCGGGTCCGTTTGGTTTGGAGATTTGATTGTGATTGGTGGTTCGCTGTGCATGCAGAGCCTGCATGTCACTCACTCAAGTAGCCCTGACATGAGAGTTTTCCTTTTGTAGCAAGCAGCAAAAGAATTGTAACATGACGTGTTTGAGTTCATTTGTTTTTAAATCGCACTTCCTGCGATGTGAATATCGCGCATAAATAAGCGATTATCGTCACGACACGATATATCGTGCAGCCCTAGGTGTTACCATGCATTGTCCTTGGCCTGGTTACATATTTGGATTCCGCTCCTTTGGGTGACATCCAGCTGATTCTTGTGTCCTGGCATTTGAGTGCTCCCATTCACATTATCTTCCTGGGGCACAGCCTGCTGAAGCCATCTGTATCACACATTTTTGTAACTTAGGCAGGGAAAAAACTTCAAAGCTGGGTGTGCTGAGAGACTCATGTATTTTCTTTGTCATGTCAGTTGTCAAGCCTATTTTATCTTATATTTGAACAGTTTCTCCCCTGGTTATTCCAATTCAGGACACAATACCTCATCTTTTTCCTTCCATCAATCAATCATCATGTAATGTTTATTTATATAGCCCAATATCACCGTCTGTACAGAATATGAATGAAATCCATCTTCTCTCTCCTTTGTGTCCCAGGCTGTGGAGGAGTTCCTGGGTGAGGTGCGCAGCAGGGAGCAGCCTCACAGCGCTGGGCTCGTGTCCCAACCCACAGCTGTAAAGTTTCTTATGGCCCGCAAGTTTGACGTCTCCAGATCCATCGACCTCTTCCAAGCATACAAGGTATTGCACTGCATTAAATGGTGATAAAACTGAAATCGGTATTAATTTATTTGATCAGCTACAGGTAAGATATTGAATTGCAAGCTTTGTGATCTCACTTTCTCAATATTGTAATTCTGATTGGAAATAAAAACAACTTCATCAGATTTATTTGGTGGTGTTTAAACTACCCTTTTGTAAAAAAGAAATAAATCAGGTCATATGATACAGGGTTTACAATTTCTTTATGCTGTTCTACTGGCACCCTAACATATGTCACTGCTCTCCACTGTAACATGTCTGCAAGTCATGATAACGATGTGTGAGACCACAAAGGCTTCTGTGCAGATTAAACAGGAGGCAGACATAACGTCATGAACACCCATAACAATCGAATGCACAACAACAATCACTACCTCTGTACTGTGTTGGAAGCATGTTTTGATTGTTTCTTTATCATCAAAATTGCATGAACCTTACAGAAACAATGCACCAAACAAAAAGTCTGACGGACATTTTTATTTACAAGCTTAAATGGACGATATATTTTGTTGCAGTTTGTTTACATGCTTTTCTAGCTGCAAGCTAATGGCACTTGTATTCTCTCCTGTCTCCAAGAACACAAGAATCAAAGAGGGCATCATCAATATCAACCCTGACGAGGAGCCCCTACGCTCTGAGCTGCTGAGTGGCAAATTTACAGTCCTGGTGAGTCACAATTCATGATACACTGAAAATGGTCCACATGCGGGTCATTTAGGGACAGTTTTTTCTTTGTGTTCAAATTCCTTTGTGTCTCTTTATGAATGGAGATGGAGTTAAAGATGGTCTGAAACTGTATACAGTTGCAATCTGAATTGATAGCTGCACGTCTCGGCGAAATGAATTTTCCATTGATTTCTGTGATAACCTGTTAATGCATCCTACCAGCCTGGCCGTGATGCAAATGGTGCCGCTCTAGCGCTCTTCACTGCTCGTCTCCATCGGCCAGACGTCACCACCCACAGAGCGGTGCTGCAGGCCATCATCTATCAGCTGGACAAAGCCATAGAGAGGTGATGCACTTTACCTCATTGTTCTGCTATACTGGAGTACTGCCTTATTTCTAAGTTACTCTCTATTATATTTTATGAAGTCGTATTTATTTGTTATAGCAAGCTTCTTTTGACTATCTTCCACTGTTTTAACTGGAAAATCTTGTTCATTGCTTCCCAGTTTACAAACTCAAAAAGACGGCCTCATATTTATTTACGACATGACCAACTCCAGCTATGGCAACTTTGACTATGAGCTCTGTGTCAAAATCCTCAATTTGCTCAAGGTAATTATAAGAAGCACCCTCTGTTGTTCTCGAATCTGCCTGCCTTCAAGTGCTTGTGTCAAATCCGTCCCCCCCAAACACCTTTCATCATTTCTTCTCTCTGTTATTCCTCTGTATTAGGGCGCATTTCCAGCTCGTCTGAAGTGTGTCTTCATTGTATCATCACCTCTTTGGTTCCGCGCACCTTTTGCAGTCCTCCGCTTATTTGTGCGCGAGAAGCTGAGAGAAAGGGTACGTAGGGCACCTTTTTCAGTTTGACTCACAGTATAACATTGAATATGTGGTTTGGATGTCATTTTAAATGTTTTGGTCTTCTCAATCCTCCAGGTGTGCACAGTGAAAGCTCATGAGTTGGCCGGTCACATCCCCGTCTCCTCCCTCCCTGAACACCTGGGTGGGACGTCCCAGTATAGCCACGTGGCTTGGATCCAGTCCTGCGTTAACGCACACACAAACGCAGATCAGGGCGACACACAAGAACAGGACTCCCGCGACTGTGTGGGGAGCCTGCTGCGCTCCTACAGCTTAGAGTGCAGCAACACAAGCGCAGGCGCTACTCTGTCCCACACCCACATAAACACACAGCTAGGTTCCGAGCTAGCCGTAGCTAACTCTAACTGCTACGACGATACTAATGCTAACCCACACAACCACTGCGGAGTGGTGGAGGGCAGGACTCAAGGCCAGGGGCAGAACCAGCAGAGCCCTCAGTCTGCTGCAAACAGGCGGCAGGGGAACCACCAACACTGGAACGGCTCCGCAGTGAGCGGGGACAACATGGCGGTCAGCGGCTCGAGCCCCAACTTCAACATTAATGGTCGTGGCCGCCAAGCCCCTCCCCAATCAGATACGCCCCCCGACACACCGCTTTCCCATAAAGATGATGGGGATGAAGTGGATGGACAGTTAGCAGACCCTGCCCAAAGCTCTCAGAACGACGATGTTAAGGAGGAGGATGACGAGGAAGAGGAGGAGGAGGAGGAGGAGGAAGATGATGATGATGGGGAGGAGGAGGAGGATGGGGAGGAAGAGGAAGGCGTGCCCCCTTTGCCCCAGAAATCATTGCCTCGACCCCCCCACCAGCCCTCCTCCCAGTCCCCGCCCCTGTCTTCATCGTGGGGTCCTGATGAGGAGGACAGCTGCATGGAGATGTCTGTCCACATGCCGGAGCAGGGAGGCATGAATGTGCCCGATCTGGTGGAACACGTGAAGAGGAAGAAGAAGAAGGGGATTTATCAGGAGTACGAGGAGATACGAAAGGAGCCCCCAGCAGGCACCTTTGACTACTCCAAGTAAGAGATAAGAATATTTTATCAATTGGGCTCATTTGTCTTTATTCTGTGTGCTTCTGTCTCTCTCAACCAAGGGGAAAATAGATAAAAGATAACGTTTTAATATTTAATTCCTCACATTGTATTCTGCCTTAACAGAAAACTGGCAAATCAGATAAAGAACAGGTACAGCGATGTTCTCTGCCTGGACCAGTCACGGGTCCGACTCTGCGAGCTCTGTGATGATGAAGATGAGGTAATCATTTATTCAACTCTCTCTCTCTTTGCTTTAAAAAAATACAAAAAATTGAACCAAAAGTTTTAATCTATTTCTTTTTATGTCTTCATATGTTTTATGCGTGATTGGAAAGCTTAATGCTCGTTGTTTGCCACCTTGGCTTCGGAATATATGGTTATAATGACCAAAACTATTAAGTTCAATTGGTTGTAAAAAAACGAAAATAAAAATCGGTGGTATGGCTTTGGAACAAATGTTGGTATTGGCCACGTAATCTGTTTCATAGTCATTATAATAACTTTTTTATGTGACTCCAGTCTACCGTTGAAACCATTAACTGCAATTATCTGGCCTAAAAATAAACCAAAGTTAAATGTGCTCCTACAGGAGGCAGTAGATTCTAACAGCAGGGAGTCTCACCACGTTTCTGCTGTGTTTTTCAGACACCAGACTACATAAATGCCAGTTTCATGGATGGGTACAAGAGGACCAACGCCTACATCGCAACTCAGGGTGAGCACTTTACTCTGCCATTTACAATTTTTGTTTTGCTCCAACACAACTCAGTCCTCCCGCAGACCTCAGTGGGACCATGACCTGACAGATTTTGTGTCCTTCAGGTCCTTTGCCAAAAACTTTTGGTGACTTCTGGCGCATGGTCTGGGAACAGATGGTACTTATCATTGTCATGACCACCAGGTGAGAATTATTTTACATCTTAGTTTGGAAGTAAATTGTGTGTAAAGGATTTGCAAAAGCTGTGTGTATTAGGGCTGTTTATTGTCAAAAACCAGGCGATACGATGCCTAAACGATCATGCTACAGGGGTGACTATTCAATACATTGCCATATCTTAAGCAACAAGATATATCACATCAACACAAAGTCAACAAATGAGTTCCTTTGCATGAAAACTATTAATAAAAAATGGATACAGTATCACAAACATACTATCGTGAAACTCTCCTATTTCCCTACTTCCCTACATCCTTACTTTGTATACAAAGTGGTAGTCCTAGTAACAGCATATCCTTGATGGGCTGATGATGAGCTAAAGAGATGTGTAACTGTGTCTCAGGGTGGTGGAGCGCGGGCGTGTTAAGTGTGGTCAGTACTGGCCTCTGGAGGATGGAAAGACTGAGCAGCACGGATACTTCCTGGTCAGGAGCACACACGTCCAGGTGTTTCAGGACTTCAAACTCTCTCATCTTGAACTTTACAACACACAGGTACGTCATGCTGACAGCATTTGTACTTGTAATAGTAGATCAATTCTTAATTATGTTAATTTAATTTTTTTTTATAAAGATCTAATCAAAGATAACTCGATATGACACAGCTGCATTTAGTTTGTGGAATTCCTGTCATTGCAATCTCCTCAGTGTGAGAAAAAGTTTTTAGAGAGTACTTGTCCATGGACAAGTGAGTTTGGCAATTTACTTGTCCGAATACATTTTTCACTTGTCCAGAATGGACACATCAAAATTGGGGCCACTGGAATCTTCTTCTTCGCCATCGGTGTTTTACATTTTCCCAAACGCGCAGGACGACGTTTTTTACGACACCGCTAAACGTAAAATGAGCGGTAAGCATTTTACTGCATTCAGCCATAAGGTTGGGTATCGTTTGGATTGTTAAGCGATTCCGGTTTCTACTTTTCGATCCGGTTATTTTCGGTTCTCGATTCCGGTTCTTTGAGAGGGTAAAAATAAGTCCCATGACAAAGGGAGAAAAATATATTTATGAAAACATTAAGATCAAATCTGTATTCCTATTTTACAAATCACCTCATACTGTTTAATTCTCACGGTTATTGAATACAATTATATAAAAAATAATCCTCTGCATTGTTTAGTTAGTTCTAAGTGGTGCAGTTCTGAGAATGTACAATTGGGCCCAGTCTCCTCTGATGCTTACATCTGCAACCTGTGCCTGCTGAGACAGAGTCCAAACCCCACACCAGGTCTTGTTGTGCAACACATGTCCTGCAAACACACATGCTCGCACCTGCCTGTGAGAACAGGGTCGCAACACCACCTGTGCGCGAAACACATAGGCCGTAATAATAGCATTATATTTATAGGCCTACTAGCCTAGCGCGTTTTCTAAACTCAGACCGGTTACACGCGATGTCTCCTGCCAATACACATGGCTCCAGCTTGCCCAGCTGCTCAGCGTGTTTGTAGAAAGTAAATAAAATAGTATTTCATTTTCAATAATGGTGACTTTCTATAC